ACCTGTTCAGCCTCCAGAAGAGAAGGCTGAGGGGGGATCTAGTGGCCTGTTACAAACTAGTCAGAGGGGATCAGCAGGCACTAGGGAAGTCCCTGTTCCCCTGAGTACTACCAGGAGTGACTAGGAATAATGGTCACAAGCTGGCAGAGGGTAGATTTAGGCTAGCTATCAGGAGGCACTACTTCACGGTCAGGGCGGCTAGGATCTGAAACCAATTTCCAAGAGAAGTAGTGCTGGCCCCTACCCTGGGGGTCTTTAAGAGGAGGCTAGATGAACACCTTGCTGGGGTCATTTGACCCCAGTACTCTTTCCTGCCGTGGCAGGGGGTTGGACTAGATGATCTACTCAGGTCCCTTCCAACCCTAGAAACTATGAAACTTGGGGCAGCTGCAATGCCTGGGGAATGCTGGCTGCAGCAGTGTGGATGGCAGCAGTGTAGTCAGCTGCCACTCTTGTAGTGGTGGCTATTTTGTTTCTCCCAAACAGAGGCAGTATGTGGGGCTGTTGTTCCAGTAGCTCCCCTCTACTTCATAGTTATGCTATTACATGCAGGTGTCTCTGAATTTCAATATGAAAATTACAAAATCATGCATCGAAGAAAATCAGAGTTCAGTTATACAAAGTGCCAAGTACTCTAACTTACAGATAAGAACATGCAGAGACAGGGCTTTATAAATGGCAAAAATTGCTCGGGACAGTTCTACTGCAAATATACATAGTCTAAAGAGATGATATCCAAAATGTGAAAAGGTAGGTCTATTACTTGAAGTTTTGCTACTTTACTCATGAGTTTGTAGAGGCAACTGATACTATAAGTGGCAGCCAAGGATACTTTTTCCTTTTCCTTTGAGTGGATTTTTCAGAGTACAATATTCATTTACTCAAACTCTGCATGTCCCTCAAGGAACCGGTTCTAAAGTTTTGTACATGGTTCATAAAATCATATGACATGATGACATAGCGTAGAATCAGAAACAATTGCATCCCATAATTCAGTTTTAATGCATCTGACTCAGTCAGGAATTAACAGACACGTTTATTTTAAATTCTTCTAAAAATTAAGGCTATAATTTTTGTTTCTGGAAGATTTAGGATTTTTCAGAAATGATTCAAGATAATTCCTATCTGATTGGAAGCCTGACTGGTTGAGTTATTTACTAGTTGAGTTCATAAAAATGTTGTCAGTGCTCTTAAAGTAGTGAAAGCTACTTTAAGTTACTTGATCAACATGAAGAAATAGTTTGTCTCTCTGGAACCAGCAAATTTATCTCATAATTCAGTACTAAATCCTGATTCTATGACTTGTTTGAGATTCCTTATATGAATAATACAAGCAGAATATACCTTTGAAATTATATAATTTCTTGCAGACTGTAGGTATTCTTGTGGGTATTTAACAAGTAATATCTTTTAAACCATAGATATGGTCTCTGTCTCAGCAAATGGATACTTCATCATTTCTCCTTTCATTCCTCTTTTCTGTAAACTATATAATCCTAACATATTTAATCTTACCTCAGTTTTTGTGTTCCCAATATGAGATACCTAGAGCTTGATCAACGTTAGTAGGAATTGTGGGCTTCCAGCTCCACTGCAAATTGAAGGAATCCAAAACTCAGAGCACACAGAGTTAGCAGGCAGTCTTGAAAACCTTGGTCCTGATTTTTCAACTGGTAGACTCATTTTTAGAAGCCGAGGCCATTTTAAATTGTCGGCTTTTTTGGTTACCCTAGCTTCTATGATCTACATGAGATTTTTTTTTGATAGCATGCTGTGTATAAATTTAGTTTCTGTTAGTTAAAACATAACTTTACACATTTCCAGAAACTCTTAAGCTAAATGTAAAATAGGTCAATATAATAAAAAAATCCAATGACTCTCACAAATATATACAGATTTTGAAGATACCTTTTTTCTGGAAATAGTGATGTATAAACCCATAACTCTTGTGCAGGCTAGGGCATGCTGCAACATTTAATCTTTTCCTATTGGGTTTCCAGTGTTAGTAAATATAGAACTATTTAGTTTGTAATTAGTACAGTATGTTGATAAGACATACTGTCGGCCACAATATAATTATGCCATTTCCATTTGTAGAAGCGGCATTTGAATATTATATGTTTGTCACCATCTTAACCCTAATAAGACCTCAAAAAAGAAAGCAAGCTAATAAAAATCTTGAAGTGACCATAGAAAGCAAATCTAAAGCAAAAAGGACTTGATGAATAGTGCTTATTGCCATAACTTGTTTTGTTTGGCTCTCTGCCAGTGATGTTGTAGTAACAAAAGAAAAATTCTCTGTAATGAAACAACTAAGCAGCATGCCAGAAATTTTTATCAACAAATGCAACATTAGGAATAATAATCAAATCTATTCTGCATGGCAATGGGAATGAAAAGAGAAGAAATCTGTCCTTAAAGATATTACTTCAGGATACCATACAACATGCATCTTTTGAGAGGAAAATCAGAATCTAGAGTTAATGAGTTATGAAGCTTTCAGACAGTACAGAGAATCTCAAACCTAGAACCCATCCTTTCAACTAGACCTCTACCTAGTGCTTTCTCTGGTTCAAAAGTATTGCTGGAAAACATCTTCATGGTGTTCTTTATGTTCTGGTTGAATCAGAAATGTCAAAATATCAGAAGCACCCTGTTAGCTGGCTGCCGGTGTATATGACTAGACTAAAACAGCTAGACAGCAGTATGCCATTAAAAAGAAAATATAAATGTGCTCACAGATCAGCTGGTGTTTAAGGGTGTCTATACACATCCTCCGAGGTGGTGAGGGGACACTTTAATTAAAGCACCCACAGCATCATGTGTATTCAGTGTCCTGCACTTCAAAATGGCAGTGGGGGGGTGCTTTAACTAAAGCTCATTCAATAAGCTTTAGTTAAAGCACCCCTGCTGCCATTTTGAAATGGGGGGGGATGCTGAATACACATGATGTAGAGGTTGCTGGAATGTGCTACTTAGCATGCTCCAGCAGACTCACAGCAAACTCAATTAATCGAGTCTGCTCTGACACATGTTAATTAGCATGCATCTGAGCAGAGGTCTGTCATGTGTATAGGTGCCCTAAAGAAGCAGGATCTATATCAGAGTGCATCAAAACCAATGCACTTGTTTAATTACAGTAAATACTTGCTGAGTCTCTAAACTTTTATTTCTACTGTTTTTCTACTAACTGGCCAGGTGTTTTACCAGGGCAATCAAGTGCAACATGACTGCCATACCTGAGGAAGGGCACCTTGTGTTAGAAAGCTTCATTAACCTCTCTCCCAATTATATAATTTGTGTAATAAAAGGCTTCACCAAAAAACCCTTTCTTCTTCCATATTTCCATTACCATCATGGTTACAACAACACTCCAACCAGCTACCTTGATTCCCTTAGTAATTTATCATGGCAAGACAAGTTCCCAGGCAATATTAGATTCTGAGATGTGATATACAAGGTAAGGCAAACTGGACAAATAACTAGGTTGTTTCAGTAAGAATCTGCATGGAATAAAACAGAGATGCTCACCCCACCAGCCCACAAACCATATCTGGTCCACAGCACCATGTAATCTGGCCCATTGCACTGCTCCCCTGCTACCAAATTTCTGGACTCATTGGGAGCCCTGGGTTCTGCATGCTGGATCAGGTGCCTGATCATAATGCACAGGGCTGGGCAGGGTTGGCACTGGTCCCCATAGCCCAATCCTGGTGTGTGGGGGGCCTAGGACAGGGTGGTGCCAAGCTCCCCAGGACCCAATCCTGGTGTGTGGGAGGAGGAGAGGGTAGCACCAGGCCCTACACACCAATCCTGGGGCCTGGGGACAAGAAGGGGTGGTGTTAGACCCCAATGATGGTGCACAGGGGCACAAGAGGGAAGTACCAGGTCCTTGGGGCCCAATCCCAGTGGGAATGGGTGGTGGCAGGCCCCGGAAACCCAACCTCAGGTCATGGATGAATTGGGTGGTGCTGGGCCCTGAGGCCCAATCCTGTCCTGCACTTCTCTATTTAGTGATGCAGACTTGCCTTGCTCCACTCATTTGGCCCATGGGGCCAAAAATTTAAGCACCACTGATATACAGTACTATTCATTATGAGAAAGGGGCTTTTAATCTGACCCTTATTTTTTTATACCAGATTTTCAGTGAGTATAAATCAATGTAGCTCCATAGAAGGAAATGGAGCTATATGAATTTACAGCTAAGGTCTTTAACAGGGTTAATTTCTTTAGCATCATCTCTGTGCTTTAAGTACACGATGCAGTGGTTTTTATTTTAATTTTGCATTCTTCATAGTCTGGTTTTCAAATTATGCAAAGGATAATTTGTCTAACTAACAAATTATGCAAAGGATAATTTGTCTAACTGGCTCTTGTTCCTCTGGTAAATAAGAAATTATCCAGATAATATTTGATCATTTTGAGCCTTTGCAGTATCTAGTTCATAACATGCTGAAAATCTGCTATAATCAGAAGGTGACTGCTGACTGCACCAGCATATTGCTCTTTTAATACATTACTAACAAGGTACTGTTTAAGCTGATTAACTACTGCTGATAAGCTTGGGTCAAATGGAGGGTGGTGTATGGTTTATCTTCCACTAAAACTGAACAATAGCTTAAGTTTTAGCTAGCTTACTTATCTAAGCAAAAGATTTATTGTCACTTTGTATTTCCCACATGTTAATAACCTATCATCTATCTTAAATATTCTCTATTTACATATCTGGTTCCCACTGTAATAGGGACTGGCTCCCAAGTATTCACAGTCTTATCTTCACAACATCCCTGTGAGATAAGTAGCATTATTTCCTCTCACATTAGGCATAGAATAGAGACACAAATGGATTATATGACTTGCTGAAGTTTGCTCAGCAACTTTAGGGGAGAGGTGAAAACTAAAACCCACCTCATTCTCTGTCCAGTGCTTTAAGCACAAGTCCACTCTAGCTTCTCTCTCTCTCTTGCTTAAAACCTCCCCTCTGCATTTCTGATCTACAATGTTGTTGAATACATACAACATTAGACGATGTAACTGATTTTGGGAATGATCTTCTCTAACATGCGCATATTAGGTGCTTTGTATTTTGTTTATTGTGGCCCAGTTTCCTTAACTATGCAAAGGATAATTTTTCTAACTTGTTTGGCCTAAATTTGGCTTTTTAATTCAATTTCTGCCCCAAAGAAAGGGACATTTACTCCCAATACCAAAAACATTCCAAAATCTTTTTGATTTTGGCATCTCTTGTATTGGCATTCCCATCTAACTGTCCTCCTGTATAGAGGTTTCAAGAGCCATGTTGCTGGGTTGCAGCTTAATTTTTTCTGAATTGACTTCTACAAGATTTGTCAGAAATTTAAATGCTGCTGTTCCAATTTCTGTTTTCATTTCAATTTTTGCAGTATCACAGTTCAGCCTTATTGGACTGTGTGGCAGGAACAACATATGGCCCAAGAAATAGACTAGACACTCATTGTGCCCCTTAGCACAGCCCCTTGATTTTATGATATTGCACATATTTCAGTGGTCTGAGTTACTATTGATGTGACAAGAGACACACAGAAGGACACATCTGTGTGTATGTTACTTCTAAAAATTGGATCATTTTACATTAATACTTGCAATGGGAGTTTAGAATATATGGTTCACACTGGGTCTGCTTAACTAATCTTTAGACCACAGTCATTACAGATGTTTATTTGGCTATTTGAACTGAACAAAGAAAATTAATCATGCTGTACACCAAGCAAATGAAATGTAAATGCAATACAGTACAGTGCAAAATAATATACAGTGGAAGGAACAGTTTAAATTACTCATGCACATGGATGACTTTTAAATTAACTGTAACCACTCAAAAACTTGTCAGACACCTCCCTGTGAGCAGCTGGTGTAAACATTACTCAGGGCACAGCATTGGTCAAAAGAGAAAACAAGATGTTAGAATAACTCGAGAGAGAGAGAAATTATAAAATTATGTTGCTTTTATACAGCTGGGTAGCTTGCTATCATCTTGACCACTATGTTGCTTTTGTTGCTCTAGTTCATAGATCTCACAGATTTCTAGAGTCGGAAGGGACCTGGTAGATCATCAGGTCCGACCCCCTGGCCAAACAGAAAAGAGCACTGGGGTTAAGTAACCCCAGCCAGATGCCTGTCTAATCTCCTCTTGAATACCTCCAAGGTAGGGGAAAGCACCACCTCCCTTAGAAGCCCATTCAATATTTTGGAAACCCTTACCATAAAGAATTTCTTCCTTATGTCCAATCTAAATCAATTCTTCTTCAGTTTGTGGCCATTATTTCTGGTAACCCCGAGTGGTGCCCTGGTAAACAGACTGTCCCCTATTCCCTGCTGACCCCCTTGATGAGTTCATAGGCAGCCACAAGATCACCTCTCAGCCTTCTCTTGTGGAGGCTGAAGAGATTCAGGTCCCTCAGTCTGTCTTCATAGGGTCTTACCTGCAGGCCTTTAACCATACGAGTAGCCCACCTCTGAACCCTCTCAAGGTTATTCACACCCCTCTTGAAGTGCAGCACCCAAAACTGGATTCAGGACTCCATCTGCGGCCTGACCAATGCTGCATAGAGGGGAATTATCACTTCCCTAGACCTGCTCATGATGCACCTGCCGAAGCAAGAAAGAGTGCGGTTAGTCTTGCTTATTACCTCATCACACTGGCGACTCATGGTCATTTTTGTGTCAACCAGGACTCCGAGATCTCTTTCCACTGTTGTGGTGCTCAGAATGGTACTTCCCAGTCTATAGGTGTATTGGAGATTCTTTCTCCCTGGGTGCAGCACCTTGCATTTATCCTTGTTAAATTGTATCCTATTCTGATCTGCCCACTTCACCAGTCTGTCCAGATCTGCCTGGATTTGCTCCCTGCCCTCCAGTGTGTTTACTGTACCATATAGTTTAGTGTCATCTGTGAATTTGGACAAGGTGCTTTCAACCCCTTCATCCAGATCGCTGATGAAGATATTAAAGAGTACTGGTCCAAAAACAGAGCCTTGGGGGACACCACTGCCCACATCCATCCAGGGAGAAACCAACCCATCCACCACCACTCTCTGGCTGTGTCCCATAAGCCAGTTTTTTTACCCACTTTACTGTGAAAAAATCCACATCACAGCTACTCAGTTTGCTCGTAAGAATTGGGTGCGACACTGTGTCAAAAGCCTTTTTAAAATCCAGGTAAATAATATCTACTTCCACTCCTAAGCATTTTGTGACTTGGTCATAAAAAGAAACCAGGTTAGTCAGGCATGATCTGCCTGCTATAAACCCATGCTGGTTGCCCCTTAACGTTGTGTTACCTGCTGGCTCCCTGCAAATGTGATCCTTTATGATTTTTTCTAAGGTTTTGCTGAGAATAGAGGTGAGGCCAACTGGCCTATAATTACTCGGGTCCTCCTTCCTCCCCTTCTTGAAGATAGGGACCATGTTGGTCCTTTTCCAGTCCTCTGGGACCTGTCCCAAGTGCCGCGAGCACTCAAACAGTTGCACCAGTGGTTCTGCTATGTCATTGGCCAATTCCTTTAGTACCCTTGGGTGAAGTACATTGGGGCCCACTGACTTAAATACGGTCAGCCCTTCCAAGTGCCCCTTCACTAGATCAGTGCTAACCATTGGTGGACTGGTATTACTCTCACTCCAGACTAAGGACTCATTGGGAGGTGTATTTGTATCTGTGTCCAGGAAAACAGAAGCAAAGAAATTATTAAAGAGCTCCACTTTTTCCATCCTATCAGTTACGAATTGCCCTAGTCCATTCTGTAGAGGCCCTATGTCACCCTGTGCCTTCTTCCTGTTCCCTATGTACTTAAAGAAGGACTTTGTTGTCCTTAATCTTTGTTGCCAACTTGAGTTCTGTATCTGCTTTGGCCTTCCTCACTGCTTCTCTGCAAGCATGAGCCAAGCAGGTGTACTCTTCCTTGGTGGTGTCACGGAGTGCGGCCTAGGAGCGGCCGTGATCTCTCTAGCGCCCCCCTACCGTGCCAAGTAGACGATCCAGCACCCTCTTTCTTGCCTGCTACGTCTTGTTGTTATATAATTTTATAAGGGAGGCTGCCTTTTGTCCCCTCAGACATGGTGCTATGTTTGTCCTGGCCCCTACTCTGTAAGGAGTGACCTGGTGTACCCCCAGCCTTATGGGCTACGCATGCCTCCAACCTCCCCTTTAGCACGCCCCAAGCCTCGCAGATCTGCCGGACGTTATCCCGCCAATCTGTTCTCCTGTACGCGCCCTCTCCTGGGGGCTTCTCGCAGTACGCGCCCTCTCCTGGGGGCTTCTTGCACACAGACAGTGCCCCACTGGGGCCA